CACTGATAACAAGCAGCACGAAACCGGATGTAAATGTGATTGTACACGCCGCAATGTCTCGTGAGGCCGATTGGAGTGGGTTAATTTGAGCGTTGAGGTCTTTTCGTATGTATAGGCACGCTCTGGGTCGTGCGTTGGTATTCCTTGCTGCTGGAGTAGGACTAATAAGCGTCCAGTTAGGGTGTTCTTGCGGTAAATAGTCCACATTGTTGACTGTTGGTTCTTGTAATGACAGGATAGAGAAGAGATTGGTAAGATCAGAATTGAAAAGTGAGTTGGAAGTGTCTGGTGAGTGTCTGCAATTCAGTTGTAGAATTGAAGCCGTGTCAGGTAAGGTAAGTTTTGTCCGAAGGTGTTGTTCTAACATTGTAAGTTAGGTTCAACGGCTTCTTGGACAATCACGATCTTTGGTGATCCACTGGGGTTGTGAGGCGGGAGAGCTTCGGCGATGCGTGTTGCGCACAGAGGGCTGAAGGGGGAATGTAGGAGGTCTTGGTTGGCAGAATCAAAAATCTGCCTGATTGACTTGGTGGGGTCGAGTTTATGTAAGGTTCTTACACATGCCGTGCACCTCATAGGAGTTTCTCCTTTCTTGGGACAGGCATGGGCGTGGTGCTCCTCTCCGCAGTAGGGGCACATTGCTTTTAAAGTACATGATGGAGCGGTGTGCCCCGGTTTCCTGCAGTTGTAGCAGCGTTTTGGGGGTTCTCTACCTGGTTCAGTTCTGTGAAGACCCCTCCCGAACCACACCTTTTCCCTGACACATTTGTCAGCGGGTGGTTTTGTGTTGAAGCCTATCAATAGAGTTGAGTAGCGTTTAGATGGGTCATCTTTCAGTTTAGGGTTAAGCCACCTTACAAAGGTGGCATCTTGTAGGAGGTCGGGGTTGGAAGCAGCCAGCTCCTCCACATGACTCTCAATCTCGGGATCGAAGGAGGTCGGGATGGCATGGACGAGCACAGTATAGTGCTCCGGTTTTATCTGAAGAGCTGTGGTTATGGCCGGTAGCCATGTTTTTTCAGTTTGCCGAATCTTTTCAGCGTGCGCCGCACTTTCTAAGTGTAGGACCAGATCGTTAGACGGGTGGCGCTGCACCGTCTTCACAGTTATTGTGGCTTCGGACGACTCATCGGTCTTCAGCTTATGGAGTCAAAAGGCATTATTAAAGCCTTGTATCAGTTGGGTGACGGTCAACGAACCCAGCGCAGCTTGGGTTCTGTCCGTTTGTACTAAGGTGACCGTATTGGTCGACCTTTTCTGGGTGGGGGTTCTGGAGTTGGGGCGTGGTCTTGGACTTGGTCCTGTACCAGCTGCGGGGGAGGATGCTGCTTTGGCGGCGTAAGAATTGGCGTTTGATCCGGCCGTTTGACGTTGGGTGCTCTTATTCGAAAGAGCTGGTAAGGCTGATACAATGAGCGAGACCTTTTCGCTTAGTTCATCAAATTTCTCGGTGAGCGAGTGAATTTGGAAGTCAGAAGCTTTATCAGAGCTCGGTATTGGGTTCAGCAACGGCGCAGCCGCCCTGGTGGGGCATGAGAGGCTGGACACCGGTTTACGGAAGAGGAGTCTCTTCGTGTTGTCCAGCTGATGTCTGTCGAAGGCAGCGTTTATCAAAACGAGGATATCCGCGCACGACTCGACATCCACCTGGATCTTTGAAGGCATCCGGCCTTTGGCCGGGAGTTGGATCGTCTCGTTGGCGACCGAGACGAGCTTTTTCAGGAGAACAGTGAGGGAACGATCGTCCTCACTGCCTGGGATCATTCGAGACATCCTCTCGGATCGAGGGGTGTCCGGGATGTTTTGCGATGGCTCTTGGCCATCCGGGTTTGAGGGAGCGAACCGAGCCTTCTTCTTCGAGTACTCGGCAAGAAGCGGGATCGTAGTACGCTTGGGAGTGGCGTCAGGGAGATCGGTGATGATTTCGGTTCGTGGGGGGACCTCGTCCGAATCATCTTGAGGGGGGTGGAACGCGTCCATAGTATCGTTAGACGCGGTTCGATCAGCCGATCCGTCGATCGACTGATGGAGGGGACCTTCGACAACCATCTGGCCCGTGTCGGCCGCGTCAGGTGGCATCGGACGCGAGAAATCGACACTTGAAGGCTGGCGAGGTGATCGGGAAAGTTAGGAGAATGGGTTGGCGAAGCTGAAATTCGGGTCACGTGATCGTAGAAAAAAGCTGTACGAAGTCAGAATTCTTCTCCATGATAGGTGGCAGGAAGATGAATATTCAAATTCAAAGAAGCTGTGAAATGGTTTCTGACAATGGCCAAAACTTGAAAATCACGCTAATGGTGTATTTTGTTGAGTTTTGTAAGCGAAGTGCCTTTGGGATTAAATGTTATGATTACAACTTTCTCTATCACAACACCTTATCATCATGATTCTCTCTCCGGATCCAAATAATCATTTATAGATGATTGACCAATAAACTGTGGTCTCATCAGAAATCTGAAATTCCTGTATGGTTGTGATCACCAGTTGTTGTGAATTGAGGGCATTGAACATGACTGTGTCCAAAGATACTGCAGAAAAAACATTGATCAATTTGTGCTTTGACATTGCTATTTGTGTCTTGAGGATTTTGCAGTGGTTTGAATACACTCTTCTTGTGTTCAATATGCTATTGTGTCCATTTTGAAGATCCTCATTGCCATTATTTTTAAGTTTCTTCATTGGAAGAGTTTGTATTGACCTGCTTTCTTTTCATCATATTTACTGTCTAATTCCTTGTTGGTTTATAATTTAGTCATGTCTGCTGGCATGTGTAATTGATAAAATGATCCAAATTCTGAAACAATTGAGTCAATGTTTGACATACAAGCTAGTATATTGGTTTCTTTGGGAATGGGGTGTAAGGAAATACAGTAATTAAATAATGAGAATTGATTCATTCTGCCATTACGTTTGAATAGATTCTGCAGGACTTGCATAGCTTTGTACGCTGAGTCAGTGTTTTCTGTTATGTTCTTCAGATCATTGTCAATGGTATTTGTGATGATGGATGTCAGTAACTTATCTTGTTCTTTATTGACATAAGATGAGGTGGGTTTTGGATTGTTGTAGTACCTCTTGATTCTCAATAATGACTTCATCACGGTCAGCTTGGGACTTAAAACAAGGATATATGAGCAGTCCTGAGTTGGAAAGATGTTACATACTAAGTTGAACATTGAGGCTTTGTTACAAGAATGAGTATCTTTATCAAAGTAAATTCAACTAAGGAATTTAAAGCTTAGTACCTATCTTTTAGGGCCCGTTTGGTTGCGATTATTTTACTGAAATTATGCCAATACCACAGTAAAATAATTGCAACTATTTTTTCACTGTTTGGTAGCCCAAAAACACAGATTATCGTACAACATTATTTGTTCAATAATCTCATAATCTGTATTAATTCTGTAAACTCTTTTTTGAGTTTATTTCCGATTATCATTGGAATGATTCCGTACGTGATAAGGGTACTTGTCAAAAATTCACCTCTTTGCCCTTCTTTGCCTTCGCCTCACCACAGCTCACCACCATGTACATCACCCATGTATCTCACATAACCTCACATCAACTCGATCAAGACTTCTTCAACTTCGACTCTGGTACATATCAACTTCTATCACTGCATTGATTCTTCAACTTCATCACGTCTTTGATCAACTTATCTTTGATATCATTTCATCTCTGATTGACCTTCAGTTCTTTGGACACACTCATCTCATCTTTGTTCCAACTCATCTCAACTCTCATCTTCTCTCCAATGCTGTTTTTGATTCAACTCATCAAATCTTCAACCCCTTCCTTGATTTCCCCACGTCATTGAGCAGGTCCATGAGGGTTATGATTTATTTTGGTTTCAAATCTTACCAGAGTAATTGAAGAGATGTTGAGATGACTTTTGTGATTTGAAATCACATGAAGCTGGTGATGTATTACATGAGATAAGCCAGCATTTCAGGAAGATGAAAAGATGATAAACATGATCTCAACAATACACAATGTTTGATGAGACTATAGCAAGAGACTTGTGCGAGACAAAGTGACCAAGTGACAATCAAGCATGCTTTTGACCAACAAAGCGGTGATTATCTCTCGAGGAGAGTGCATTGCATGATCTTGATTCTCTGAGCACTGGGTTTTGATTGAACTCACCAAAACCATTGTTGCACCATTTCCTCTTGAATCAATTTTGTGATGGTAGTTCCGAGCTACCAAACAATTATTTTTAAAAACCACCCATTACCTCTCAACTCACAATTAATTGTGAGTTGAGACTTTTACGGTAGTTTTGGGTCCATTAATGCAGTACACTTTTACTGTAGTATGTGATAATCTTGGGCAACCAAATGGGCCCTTAATGTGTGTAAAAAAGCTAACCTGCATTGTCCACCCCGAGTACATATAATATAGAATTATCATACATAAAACCTAATTAAATGTACATGAAGCTTTGGAAATCTATGTAACATGTAATATGACATATAGCAAACCTAATTACATATACACATACACTCAAAACTACATGTAATATGTAATAAAACCTCATTTACACCTCATAACTTGGTGTCAAGAATTAAAATGCTTATACTACATAATACCCATAACACACATATGTAATTAAGTATAACCAGTATCGATCATAACATTTAGTAATGATCAACCCTGAACCAATGTAGTGCTATCAACAAACATCACTACAGTTAGGTTTAGAGAGGAGAGTATATAAACCTCTCCTCCCTCAGCCTTCAGAGATTTTGTGAGGGTTGGGTGCTCTCTTGAGTACTCAGGGCTCACTAATGGGGCAAGGTGAGTCTTATAATTTAAGTAATTATATCACCTGAGGCGCGCCAATCATTCGACCGTGCAACCAATGGGCGCGTGCACCATCTCATCGACCCGCCGACCGAACAACTGCACTAGATCATCCGAGATGATCTAGATCGCTCTCTATCACGTCTTATACACAAGTTTAAGTCATCATCTCCCAATAAGAAATGTTTGTATAGGTCATTGCGAGCAATTTTCATCATCTATTATGATATGATTCAAATTTATGATTCCACTCTGAATGTGGAGTTCTCCAGATCAATCAGATCAATCTGAAAGACACACAGATCAATCATTCAAAGTCCGAGGACCGACAGTGGAGATATCTGAAATTGAACCTCCTTGACTCTTGCAGTCATAACTCATTGAACCACGTATTCTACTCTTAGAACTCATCTTCAACTCTTACAACTCATCATCTACTGTTTCTTCAACTCTTACAACACATATTCGACAACAATAACTCATCCCTTCACTTCACATAACTGTTTCAACATCTCACTCGATGCCTTCGCGGTCTCTACGGTCTAGTAGAACAGGTGGTTCCAATCTTACAGTGCCAAAATCCAGTAAGCGCAAGGCTCCTTCTGCTAAAGACTACTTGAAAATCAACAACAACAAATCAGTTCGGGCCAAACGTGGAGGTCAAGACACAACCGATGAATCTGATGAAGACAATGATCACCATTCCGAGAACAACATCAACACACCAGACGACCTCGATACTGCGAATGCTTCTCAAAATCCTGATGAAGACAAAGAAACTTCATTTACCTCGTGTTTCCCTTCTTTGACATTTGAAAATATGGACGAAGAACTTAGCAAATGGACTCTGGCCGACCTTCGAAAAGCTCTAACTGAACAGAAAGCAAAGCGTGGACGTCACAAGTCTCAAACACCACCTGAAATCAAAACCCTTGTTGAGCTTATCCGGCTGGACTATGAAAAGAGGATGTTGATGGCCGCGCTCATAGGAGGAATCAGTCAGACTATGATTTGGGGCCTTGTGTAAGTCATTTTTCATCAAAACACCTCTTGAGCTTCTTTGAGTTCTTTGAAGCTGACTTATCTTTACTTATCTCTTGGGTATTGTAAGCAATGCGGGTCCAAGAAAGGGTAGATCGTCTTCGTGGACAAGATTCTTGGCCTTTTGCAAAAAAGCACTTACCCTGCCTTGTGGGTCAGGCTTTCTTTTATATAAAACATGCTTTCAAACCTGATCTGACGTCTCTTGTTTTTTTACAAAATCAAAGTCCCTTCGCGACATGATAGAGCTGGCTGGTCCACTAGGAACAAAAAGCTTAGTGAGATTTGGAAAGGATTCAGCAGCGATCAGAAGAAAGTGTTCAAGGATCCCCTCTTTTTTGCTTTGGCAAAACTTCCCGATGTTTCAATCAACGATGACGATGATTGGGAAGATGAAGAGGATGGTATCATTGATGTATCAAAGGAGGTCTCTGAACCTAAGGTCCACCAGCTCTCAGAAGCTGACGAAATCACATATCAACCGATCTTCAATGAATTGGTTGATGTTGAAAAATTACATTCCAACCACGGAAAGCCAGACAGCGCTGAAACGACTGCAAGTGTTCAATTGAAATCACTAGCTGCTTTCAAAAAAGCTCATTATAATGTCAGTAGTTTGCTGTCGATATGACTAATTTCCCGACTGCTGACATCGATACCTTAGTTTGCAACAATTTGTCAGAGATTTCATATTCATTACCATCTTACTGCGCTGAGCTGTGATGTCACCGATGGCTGGATGCAAGTATATTCAACAAACAAAAGCTTTTCCGAGTGGGCTGATAAACAAATGAAACTAAGTACAAAATTTCAGTATTACGTGCATGGGAAGACGGTGGCTAACGAGATCGAGAAAAAACCTCCTCAACCTGTTGATGCGCGTCGAGGGGAACTCACAAGGGAACTTAACAAGTTGATTGGTGAGTTATTTAGCTTGTTGGTACAAACTATCACTTCCCTAATCATGTTGTTCGACTTATTTGTACTTCAAGCAAAACATCTGCCTGGTAAGGTTTTTCCCAAAAAAGACCATCCAGTCCAAATTCTTGCCGATCGGGGCTGGCCTGTCCGAATAGTTGCTCAACCCAACTGTTCTCTGTTACCTGAAGAGCTGGATCTGGGATTCCGCGACTGTGATGACTTACAGAAAAAGAAATGGCTAAGTGACATAGCAAATGGCCTGTTTGACGTTGAAAAGATCCCGGCTTCTGAACTCGTCTCACAAAAAAAACAAAAGAAAAGGAAGCGATCAAATAAAAAGTTAGACTCTGATTTGAATGACCAAGATACCACCACAGCTCGAACTTCAACTTCGACTTCAGTCACCAATCATGAAAATCGACCAAACTCTCAAAACTCATTGTCAGGTAGTACTATCCTCACCACTCAAAAAACCCAAACGGAATCAAGTCAGCAAGCTCCGAGGGAGAATGACAAACATAGTGACAATAGTGACGATACTGTTTCCTCTGATGATGAAGAGTCTTGAATCGTCTCAATTTGTTCAAGTTAAAAATAAGGGTCATCAAGAAGAGATGATTTCCCTGATTTGTCTGCCTTTTTTCGAATCTTTTTTTCCTTTTCCTTTTTCATCATCTTTTGATAAGATTTATCTGTTCGTACACACCTTTCCATTTTCCTTTTTACCTTTGATTTTCCATTTCCTTCAATTTTTTTTTGCCTTTCTTTGATCTTTTGGTTCGTTTTGTCTCTTTTTGTTCAATTAGTTTTTCTCTTTTCTTTTCTTTGATTGGAGTTTCAAGTTTCTGTTCTTCTTGCAATCTGTTCTTTCTGTTCTTTGTTTTATTGAGTGCGGGTGGAATGAAAATGAATTGTTTTTTCACACGTTCTTGAATTGTTGAGATGAAAATACAATGTTGACAAGGATACAACAGATTTTGAGTTCAGTTAAGTTATAGCTTGTCATATGAAATTGAAACAAGACTTTACAACAGACCCAGTTGTTTGATCATACACAAAGCAACACACAAGTCAAAGAAAAAGATAGAAAAATAGAAAAATAGAAATTGATTGAAATCGATTGAAAAGATGTGGATGGATCTGAAGATTGAGATACTATCGAAATCATTTGAAAGAAAGAGACAGGTTGTGTTTTGCAGTGATTGAGATTGAGAATAACACGTAGATTTGGCAAAATGACAGAGAAGAACGAGAGAAAGGAAGAGAAAGAAATAATGGATGAGTAGGTGAGTATGAGTGAAAAGATTGACATGGTTTGGTTTCTTTCTGCGGTGATTGGTTGAAGAGGACCTAGTTTTGGGTGGTGATTGGTGGTTGAGTCAGAAAGAAAAAACTGCATGAGTATTTAAGCATGGTGAAAAGAATCGATACGGTTCGGGGTTTCTCTTTGCGGTGATGGTTGAAGAGGGTCCTGTTTTGGGTGGTTGCAGTGGTGATTGAATCAGTTTGGCGATTTTGTCAATGGTCTTGTAAAGGCCAAAAGCAAAGTTGAAGTGCCAATGAGCCTCTGAGTATTGGATCATTGCATGTTATGTATACGTACATACATATATGAGTGGTCATGCAGCCAGCAACCGGCAAGCCAGATTGATCTGAGTGATTGTCAGATCAGTCTGGAATAGATTTGAATAGATCTGAGTGCACTGATGCTCTGAGTGCACTCAGATTGATCTAGGTACATCTCAAAATGATCTGACCCGGTCCCAGATTGATCTGCGTGTCTTTCAGATTGATCTGATTGATCTGGAGAACCAACACCGCCGGCGCTCCGCCCGAGATAGCGCGAGCGGAGCGGTAGCGAAGCGCGCGTCCCGCCCGCGCTAGCCCCTTTTATATATAGCGGGTTTCACGCATTGCTATAGCTATGGTGAAACCGGACGATTTATAGCGGTATTGAGATCCGCCTGGCATAGCGTTTTTCCGCTGTGCTATCACCCGCCATAGCGACCCCGAGCGCTTAGCGACAGGGCACCATCAAGCGCCCTGTAGCACCTCATAGCGGGATCCATTGGCTCCTTATCATCCTTCTGATGGAACAATAAACCAATCAACAATGGAGGTATGTTCTCTTTATATATCTTTCTTTTCTTTCTTCCAATAAAAAAATCCTAGCAACCTTGATTTCAATCAGACACACGAAAACACTTTAAATGACAACTAATATGTGCTTCTTTCTTTGTTTAACGCTTTGATAGATCGCTTCAAACGAAGAAACTAATCTCAATCTAACTGATAGCAGACCCTCAAACACTTGAACACAAAAACTCAGATACGACCACTAGGACACTTTCAAAAAAAAGTTCAAGACACTTAGAACACTCTTAGATCACCACTTATACACAAAAAACACAAAAAACACAATGATCTGTTCGATGGATCACAAAAAAGAAAAGACCCACACTTCACCCCCCCAAACAGACACGATTCAACAATCAATTCTTAGATGATTGAAAGATGATTCCCTCCCTCAGTTTCAAGATCGTCTCCTCCTTCTGATTCCAATCAGACTTTGGTTTTCATTCAGGGTGAGTTCTTTCTCCACTATCTCTTATTCAATTTTTGATCTTGATCTTTTATGTAAGTAAGTATCATTTCATTGATTGATTGTTTGTTCTTCTACTGATCCATTTTCTTTCTTTCTTTGTACATAGATTGATTCATCTTCTTCAATCTTTTCATTAATTAATCTTAGATTGATATTGATTTCAGTGACAATCAATTGTTCATTTGTTTAAAATCTTCATCCAACTGATTCTGATCTCAATGTTCATTTCACCAGCTCACTACAAAACTCTTCAACTAATCTCTCTACTCGAATAAATTCTTCTCCACTTCTTCTTGACTTTCCTGATTAGATTTCGATTTTGAGTGTTTGTTATGTAAGTTCTTCTTCTTTCCTTATCTTTCAAACTAATGACATCGTATGACATTTGCTATTCACTTTCTTTCATTTTGTTTTTTAGGGTACCTTCAATCACAAAAGAAACTTCTATCGATCTTCTTCAAACTTGATCAATCTGATTTCATGATGTAAGTTTCATTTTACTTGTTTATTCTTTTCTCATGTCAATGTTCTTCTTATTCTAACTAACTTGGCTTTCATCATGTATACTTTTGTTCTTTTATGATATAGATTAATTGATTTTGATCGTTTACTTCTTTTCACTTATACCCGTCTGTTTTAGATTCTGATTCTTCATGTACTTAAGTAATTTTTATTTATCTTTCTTTATCTGCTTGTTTCTAAATTGTTCAATTCATTTAACTGCTTCTTTTGTTTGGATTGATCAATTAATTTTATTTCGTTTGATTTGATCTTCTAATGATTCAACTTCGATTTCTGAATGAAAGTTTTCTATTTTTTCCATTCTCTCTTCTTTTGATCTTTTACTGACTATTGACATCATTTGTTTTTATGCTCTACTATTCTCTTGGCTTTATTCATTAGTTCTTAGCTTTATAGATATGCAATTTCATCTGTTGATAGTGATTCATTCAAATTTCGATTTTTGGCTTCTTGAGTTTGTATCTCTTTTCTCTTTTGTTAAAAAGTCTCAAAACGCGCTTTTAAGCGCTATGTCCTGTCAAAATCGCACATAGCGGAGCGGAGCGCTTGGATCTTGCGCACCGCTCTGAGATCCCATAGCGACTCCTAAAAGTTAGCGGAGCGATTGGGCGCTTTATCATAGCGTCAAATCGCTCCGCTTGCAATTTTGGCGATTATAGCGGAGCGGAGCGCAGCAACGGGGGTGTTGGGAGAACTCCACATTCAGAGTGGGATCATAAATTTGAATCATATCATAATAGATGATGAAAATTGCTCGCAATGACCTATACAAACATTTCTTATTGGGAGATGATGACTTAAACTTGTGTATAAGACGTGATATAGAGAGATCTAGATCATCTCGGATGATCTAGTGCAGTTGTTTGGTCGGCGGGTCTATGAGATGGTGCACGTGCCCATCGATTGCACGGTCGAATGATTGGCGCGCCTCAGGTGAATTATATTTATATTTCAAATATAAAGTAATTACAAAGAATTATAAACAAAGGAAAGGAGGGAGGAAGGGAAGATACTGGAATAATATTGTAAATAATGAAGGGTGGATTCTAGTCCTTCCTTTAATCTTCAAAGTAACAGATTAAATAGTGGTTTAAAGTTCACTAGACTAGTTGTTCTATGGTCACTAACCTTGGGTTGTTCTTATGGTCACCAACCTTGGGTTATTCCATGGTCACCAACCTGGGTTGTTCTATTGTCACCAACCTTGGGTTGTTATATGGTCACCAACCTATAAGAGTTCTACTTAGGGAAAGTAGAGGATCCAGAGATGAGTGAAGGGTATTACTTACTTCTAATCAGGGAACAGATTAAAGTAATGAAGATATCACTAGTCTTATATTTATAAGACTCTTGATGTTACTTCAGTATAATTTTAAGTTGTTCTTAAAAGTACTGAGTTATGAGGTGTCAATGATATTTTATTACATATTACATACTATTTTAAATGTATGTGTATATGTAATTAGGATGTAATTAAGATGTATATATGATTTGTTACATGTTACATATGTTTTGTAAGCTTTATGTACATGTAATCAGGTCCCTGAAGGTGCTTATATATATTACAAGTTAGTCGTTTGGTACATACATATGTACCCAGGGCTGACAGATTTCCCCAAGCTTTTATTACACCTCACTTTTAAAGAAAAACTTTGAATTGATACTGAAGTTCATAATCAAACAATAAGAATAGCAATTTACTTCATTAATTTAGACAGATTCATGACTAAAAGTAAGTAATACACCCTTCACCCTTCTGGATCCTCTACTTTCCCCAAGTAGTATAATTACTAGGTTAGTGACCTTCAACAATTCAAAATGCAGTGACCTATATACAAGTAAGGTTGGTGACCATGAGAACAACCAGTGTAGTGCTCTAGACCTCACTCTTTAATCTGTCAAATCTACTATAATAATAACTCAAATGGTTGCTCTTGTAAAAAAACACCATGCCCCCTCGCCACATCCTCCTTGTGACCAGTTCATACCATTGAGCAAGTCCTCAACTCAATTGGGTGGGCGTTTCATCACTCCCTGATGCCGTTGCTCAATTTCAGCTCATACGGTCCAACTTTGGGTCCAAACTTTGACCCAGGTCAACACAAGGACCTCAGCGTGATGACTATGGTAAACAGTGTGGTACGGTACGGTCTGCACCGTACCGCAACAGCCCTTTGGACACTACAGTACGTCTGTATTGCAATGCAGGGTGGAAGTATCCGGTTACGGTCCTAATTACAAAAACAGGCCAATTCCATTGCAGTACCCGCAACAAAACCTGTAGTCACTACTGTTGATTGCGGGGTTTTCCCCCTCACATACATCACCTTGTACATTACTGATAGTACTATGACTAATCCATCCCTCAATCTTCTCAATGCAGGTTCCTTCATTTCTCTTTTCACCTATGTTCACCCTGCATTTGTCCAAGGAGGCGCTTGGATCAATGAAAACCATTAGTTAGTTCTTTCTTATTGATTTATTTCTCCCCTTTCCTTGCTTTTTTGATTCACTTTTCTTTATTTTTTGCCTTACATCATTTCAATCCTCATACTTAATTGTTCAATATGGCTGATAGCTCCTCTTCACTACTTCCTCCTGACTCTTGTTGTTCCACTTGTGCCAGCCCACACCAAAAAGATGCCAGATTTGTATTGATGTCAGGTGTGAGCCTACTAGCGTCTGTTAGGCTAGTAGATTCAATAAAAAGGTTGTAGAAGTTCCGTTGACTTCTACTAAAGTCGTGTAGATAAATATCTACAAGTATGGACAGGTAGAGACTTGGGTGTAAGAGCTTTACTTGGAATAAACAAGTAAAGACTCCAGTTAGTCCGCAACATATCATGAAGCGTGTCGGACTTCACCTGCTATGTTGCTGGTGTTGCGGGTCGGGTCAGATTTTCTGAGCTATCCCCAATTCGGCAAGTGTTTCCTGTTGTAGCACCTCATTCATCGCACCATAACCCAAAGGAGACCCCTTCAGTATGCACTTGCTCATCTGGGACCGATCACAGCCAGGGGGTGACTGGCTAGTCCTCAATAAAGGGGGCCTCGTGTCTGCCATTCGAAATGCAAGTCTTCTTTCATTTCTGTCTATCTGATTCCTGATATTCCAACCTCCGTTCTGAACCTCAATTGCTGAACTGTCCTCCTTCCAATCATCATCTATTTAGATACTTCTCACTTTATCTGGCTACTATTTCTACTCGTTCTCATTAACATCCTCTCTCGTATTCAACACCACCAGCTTCCAACACCGTACCACTTCAATCACCATGTCATCCCAGCCTCACACGTCCCATGCCAATGGATCGGACACTCCACCAATTCGTAACAGAAAGCAGCCCAACTGTGCAGGGATGGTTTCCCCTTCTCCAGACTCCCGTTGGCAAATCCGCTTCAGTGTTGAACCAACCGAACAAACCAAGAAAAAGCGCAAGGCGCCATCTGCTACTGATCCTGCCAAAGAATTGGAAGACAAATCCGATGTGAGTGTTTCTATTAGCAAGAAGAAGTCTGGCTCTTCCCAAGCTACCGCTAGACGCAAGAAGAAGAAGATTGCCAAGGGCTCAGAAGAAGTAGGTCATTTATTTCTTCCTTAAACTGGCTTAACTAGCTAATACTGATCATTTATGCTTTCTCCAAACCGATTTAGCACATATCGTCTAATGTCACAAAAAGAATATTATAGGCTGATTCCAATGTGGAATTTGTGAGCAAGAAACCACTAAAGAGGCAAAAGAAAGATAATCCGGACAGCGACCTAGGTAGACTGAGGGCTTACTACAATGACCCAATATACAAACGAGGAGATGTAAGATTCATAGTTTAATTATCATCTTTCATTTCCCATTCTTATATCTGCTTTTTTCCTTTTTCCTCCTCTTTTATTTCATTACTTCTTCTTATCAATATGAAATCTCTATCACGGTTGTTTCTGGACATCAGGGCAGATCCAAACCACCACTCGCGTACCGGTGTTGGTTCTGCCCCAGAGACAAAGATGATCCTGTTCAAGTCAGTTACAGCAACATGATGGGAAATCTCTGGAATCACTGTGATGGATATAGTTTGCCAGGCTGCTCTGACAAAGGCTGTCCTGGCCGATTCAGATCTCAAGAGGATAAATCCCTTGGAATTCCTCTTTTGGTGGCTGAACGACGGGCTGCGCAAAAGCAAGGATTGAATCTTGACGGATTTGTCACCGTCAACCCTGGCCTCAAGTTTAACAACAATACCTTTAACCAAATTGCTTGCATGTGGCTGATCAGGCACACACTTCCTTGGACTTGAGTGGAGGCAACATGGCCACTATACTATACAGTATTGTGATACTGTAGTATAGTATTGAGTTTTAATATACTTTACTTCAAAAGTATAGTATCAGACGAATTATAATATACTATACTTAGAGCATCCGCACTCGTGCGGTAAATCGGGTGCGGTAAGGTTAAATTTAACGCAACCGCGGGGTCTTTTCCACACCGGTGGAAAATTAGCCCCGCGGTAGTTAACTTTTGATCAATTTGCGTTAGCAAATCGGTAAATTTACCGATTGGCTAACGCATGCATTAACACACATCGCGACTAGCTGACAGCAACTTCGACTCCAAAAACGAGACTCAACCCGACCTCCAACACCAAAGTCAACCCACACCTCCTTTTCACCTTCCACATTCACCTTCCACACACGATGAAATCCAAGCCTCACAGTCACATGAACTAAATCAAGAACAATCAATGCTGATTCATGTTGTTTCAATCTTCAATTTTTGGTGTTTTTTAATTAAAATAGCTTGATCAGACATCTTCAACTTGACTTCATACCAATCAGATGAATATGTAGAATGTCAACATTCATATAGCATGTACAGTTCAAATGAAAGAAAATCAACATTCAAAGACTAATCATGGGGGACTTTCAAGATCAAGTGATACAAATCATTAAGAAAAGTTTGGATTTGTTCAGATCGTTCAGATCGTCGATTTTTCTTTTTTAACTTTGAATCTTTAATATTTTCACAAGATCATAATTGCATGTATTCAGACTCATTAAAGGCTTGATCAATGTAGTCAAGCGTTTGGTTTTTGAACTTGAATTGATCGATTGAGTTGCTGAACAAAGTCATGTTGACTTTGTCCTTTTAAATCAAAATTGCTGATCAGGTAGATGAACAAGTATTGGATCTATGTAGATGGAGAATGTGAAAGCAACTTCAGTCCTCCAAAGAAGCGGACAGTGGCTCTATCATATTAACACTTGTGATGAAAGCAGGTGATTAGTACTTGAAAAATCAAAATGTTACCTTACTGCATGACCCGTGTGGAGCACATGCATTATCTGTAAAGTTGTAACAGTTACAGCACTGCTAATGCAAACGAGTGGGGAATTTAGTCGAGTTAAGTAATTTTTTACTTAAAGTAGGGTTTGTTACCGTGCGTGATCAAGTTAACAACCGCAAACCAGTGCGGATGCTCTTAGAGAGTATAGTATTGAGCCACTTGTAACATACTGTACTTGATTAAGTATAGTATTAAAAACTACAGTATAGTACTACAGTATATGACTGCTTTACCAGTATCTAGGGCTATGACCCGGCCCTGGCCCTGACCGGCCGAGTGTGCCCGAGCGTTTTCTAGGTGAGGTCGAGGCCGAGCCCGGGGCCTCAAGTCCAGCCTGGGACAAGTAGAACCTGACTCACGCCCCACTCTCCTGCGTCGACGTTCATCACGGATTCAAGCCTCGACCCTTGATACATCTCAAGGCACATCAAATACTTTAACAAACTCACAGCCTACGAGAATTGAATCAAGGAGAAGATCAGCTTCTGTATTGAGCAATGATAAGACAGACGGTCAACATACTTCAAAAGTTCAGAAAAAAAATGTGGTAAAAAAGCGAGTCACCAGAAAAAAATCAACAGGTCCCAAACACACAAAGCAGGTAACTGAGGTGAGGAGTAGTTCTTGAACTTTGATTCATTCAGGATGTACTGATTGATTTGATACTGCCAATACAGGAAAGGCCAATTCGTGAATCAATCCTTCAGCCTGACGATGTCAATCTTCGCCAAGATTCTGACGAAGAAAACTCAAAAGTTCAACCCGATTCCAGCACTTCCACATCTACCTTTGATAACATCTATCTTTACTACGACTGCCCATTTCATGGCGCAAAGGATGTGAGTTTCTCCCGCAATCAAATGGATTTCACCAAGGCTTATGATATGGCCAACCTTTTTGATTTGATGTAGGATGGCGCCCGGCGTGGTAACTCGTTTCCTTGTAAATGGTGTACAGGAGCCGATGATAAACCAAGGACTGTTCGAGGTGCACCAAACTCGGAAACCAACTTATTGGCACATCGAGATGGGTCAATTAAGGGTGGAAAGTCAGGCAACCCAGGTTGTACAGGCCGTGCCAACGCTATTGCTGCCGGTGCTCGACTTCCCCCCACCGCCAATGAAATTCGACAAGAAGAGGTTATTGATGATGAGAAGATAGATGTGACATTGGCTCGAAAGGTTGGGAAGTTCAACAACAAGACTTTCAATCAGGTCTTGGTTTTATGGATGATTAACAAAGCACTACCCTGGAGGCATGCCGAGAATAGAATCCTACGAGCTGCTTTCAGATACGCCAACATCGAGGCTGAAGTTCATGGTCGGACTTGGTTTGCTACACAAAGTCATCGGCTTTATGTGTCATTAAAGAAAGCTCTTTTTGATTCCCTTTCCGTAAGTTCAAAAACTATTCATTTAAGCATCAGAATATCAATATTGACATATAAACACTTTCCTAGAACTTAACTAGTAAATTCACAATCATACAAGATGCCTGGATCAGCAAGGGAAGTCGATTCGGATTTTCAAGTTACTCTATCACTTACATCAACAACGAGTGGGAGTATGTTTCTCAACATCTCGGTTTTAAACTCATCGCATGGTATCATAATGGCGAGTGGCTTGCCGAGCCGTTACTCAATCTTCTAGAGAAACACAAGCTCTACCCCAAGATAAGTTGATTTTTCACATTATAATCTCAAATGTTTCACTAGCTAACTCTGTTTTCATTGAGGATCACACATGTTGTCTCAGACAACAGATTCAGGCGGTAATAACTTTACCATGGCCAGAGTGATGGAAGCAAGGCTGTCCCAGGTTGCACTCGAGGCCGGTGAGGACTTCGAGTGGAAGGCCAAAACAATGCACATCCGATGCATGTGTCATCAAATTGCACTAATCGTCAACTCGGGGCTCAAAGCGATCGAAATCACTCCACCCAAATCAAAATCAACTAAAAAAGCCCACCTTGGCTCATTTCCGATTCATGAGACCCTTGCGACAATTCCGGAGGAAGAAGAAGAAGAAGCATTAGATGAAAACATTATCAGTGAAGAGTCGGAAAACGGGATAGAACACGATGATTGGGAAAATGAGACCGAGAATGATTTTAATGACGAGGAGAAAGATTTTGATGATCTCAACTTAGATAACGATACCACTGATCATAATGGCGAAGGGGATCACTTACCAAATCCATACCAGCCACCCAAATCAGCAGCTGGTATTCCAAACACTCGGCTTAATGATCTCACAAAGAAGGTAGGTATTCTGCTTTCAACAATCTTGAAATGATCGGAACAGCTGACAACTTGTTTCCAGCTTGAATTTGTCTGTCGTCGCATGACAGGTTCCGATACGATGCGACGACTTTTTGAAGCTGTTGGGGCAAAGCAGGGCGTTAACGTGAGAAATTTAATGGCAGGATATGGAATCAGGATGAACATCCGATGCATGACATGGGAGCGTGCTTGGGAAGCCCGTAATGTACATACGAGTTTTTGTATTGTCATTTGTTTAAAATACAATCTGTACTACATACTTACTCACCTTCTCAAATACAGGTCATTGATGAGGTCCTCGAAGAAGATAGGCTCTCAAACAAACAGAAGAAGAAGCAAACCAGCAGCTCAGCTTCAATCGACCTATTTCAGGATCACAAGAGAGGAACGTTGAACGGAATCGAATTTAGTACAGAGGATTGGCGATTAATCAAACTCCTTGTTGATGAACTCAAGGTACATCAATCATAGATTTGGATAAATTGAATTCATAAATATCAATCTTCATCAGGCTGACTTGTTACTTATGTAGCCTTTTATTTTGCTTACAAAAAGGATGGAGGGCGATGGACCGACCGGATCGATCTATATATCTCAATATTTTCTTTTAAAACAAAAACTCAAGAAGAAGATTGGAGAAGACGGAGCTGATCGCGACCTCTTCTACCCGATGCACTGTGCTATGTTGGCACGAGTTGAAGAGTTTTTATCACGAGCACTCAAATGCGAGACTCTAGTGATGGCAACCATCTTACATCCTAGCTGGCGTCTTGCTTTCTTTGAAACCGCATTTGGATCAAACTCTGTTGAACTTAAGGACGCGACCGAAATGTTTTCGAGCATGTTTTGTAAACGAAAACTCAAACTGGAAATTGGTCAATCCAGCAATCTCCCACGCTCATCGCATGAATCATCAGGAAGTGATGATGATGACATTTTCTCGCATCTTCATCAGTCAGGCCCAATTGCCTCATCAAGGAACGAATTGAATGATTATGCTCAAACTCCAGCACCATCAAAGGATATGCGAAACAATCCACACCTGGCTTTGGGATGGTGGAAGGTAATCAACTATTTATGAAACTTTAGTTATATTGTAACTGACACATTTTCTTTGTAGGCTCATCAGACAGAATTCCCGGTCCTCGCATCCTTGGCTCAGGATTACCTGGCCTGCAGTGCTTCGTCATGTGCAGTTGAACGCACTT